TTCTTCTGCAATATAGACCTTAACTGCAGTAACTCCATCACACACTTTTTTCATAGTTCCTTTTAGGTTTTTCCTCATTTCTCATTTACACTTCTGTGTAAATATATGAACAAAATCTCATGAGTGGTACTGCTGGTGGATGCCTACGTTTATTCTAGATCTGAAATATATTACATTGAGAATTTTTTCATATCTAATCTACATATGTTTTCTACATGTCTTTTATGAATGATCTGAGCAGGGTTGGCAGAATGGATCGCAGCCTTTTCCACCCTGAAGGCAGAAAAAGTTTCACACTGAATAGGAAGCCACACAGGACTATTAGGTGCTGTTAAGTTTAGCAAATTGCTGACAGTTTTCAGGTCATATTATCAGTTTTGGATGTAGGTAGAATTTAGACACCTGGATTCTATTGGAAGTACTTCAGTATTTATTTAAATTTAGTTCCAAGTACTTTATTTGAGGACGTGCTCAGCGCTCAGGCAAGGAACAGGGACTTGAGAAGTGAATGAGCTCTAAAGAATGAGCTCTGACACATTCTCTAAGGAGAAGCATAAGTACTCATACTTAGAGCATGGCAAAACAAGGAGAAAGAGCTGATACTTGTGTATAAAAATCTCAGGATTAACAAAAAGACACACTTACTTGCATACAAACTCTAAATCCTCATCAATTTAATGGAAGCCTGGAATACTCGTGAACTGTTGGCTAAGATACAGCCTGGAAAAGTTCCCCAAAAAGTGTTTCATTACTTGTGTGGGTGTGGGGAAAGTGTTATAATTCATCAACTGTATCTGAGTAGTTATGTTACTTTATCACTATCTAAGCCAAAGAACTATTTTTAAATTGAATCAAAAATTGCTACTTATGCAGTTATCCAGTGGATACTCTCCAAAACAACATTCCTGTAGCTATCTTGGGTCAGGACAACATGATGAATCAGCATGCAAGCACCACCAGTTCCAATACGATCAATTCCCTTTATTTGTTCATTCCACCACTAGAATGTGGTTTGTATCCATCCCTCATAATTCACTCCTACTGTTTGCTCACTCTTAAACATAAAGAATGTAAAGGCTTAAAGAAGACTACTATTCACTGAGACTCAATTTTGCTGCCAAAATCTATGTAGCTCCTTCCTTTCTACAGAGCTAATCCTCATATCATCATGGATGGCAAGAATAGCACAGGTAATATTGACCGTCTGAGTATCAAGCTGTCTTGCCTGTTTAATTCTCATGAAATCTGAAAAGGGAGAAACTTTTGTTCCTCCATCATATGTGGTTTAGTTCTGACAGACCTGCCTGTAGGCAGATAGCCTTCTTCCGAAGTGGGGCTTGAATGAGATGCCTAAAAAGTAACGCGTTCATCTGAAGTTACCCTGATACAGATCTCGAAGGTTTTCATTTTGTGAAACAAAAGGGAAGATATGATCTGATGAAATGCATAATAGTTCAAATCTTGTATCTCCACAAATTTAGATCTTTGTGGATAATAGAAAGACCTTCTCAACCTAGCTTCTTCATTGTGCACTCTACACAAAGATAGACAACCCCATAATAGCACACTAACATCTACTTTGCACCCTTAACATTTACTCAACTCAGAGAAGAAACAATTTAAAAAGTATGATAAGTGCTTGATTTGTCTAATTAGGAAAAAAATACAAGGTTTTCCAACAGAATGAAAGCAGCCCATTGGTAGATTCCAGGCTAATCTGCATCTTTCAGAGCTTTCCAACTGATAGATTCAGCTAAAAAATACATCTGCCGCTAAGGGTTGTGCATCAAAACATCTCTGTGAGCAATAGGTCTGCCAGCTGCTGGCATTTCAGGGCTCTCAGTGGCGTAAGCTGAGTAGCACATATTTGTGCAAGGGAAACAAATCAAAAAGCCTTTTCAATTTACTCATTTTATCCTGTTTGGAAGCTCCTCAAAGCCTCTCTTTTACTCATGTAATTGTTTGTTTAATAAAAGATATTACCTCTTTTTATACACCTTGCTTAGCAGTTTGTAATAAACTCTCTTTTTTTTAAGGTTAATTCAATAGTAATATTTTTTCAGCTATTTACCTGATTCTCATATCTGCTTCAGAAAGAACCTAGATATTTAATAATTAAATTTTCAAGTAGCCAACTTATTTCCTGCCTTCAATAGCCTCACCTTTCTCTTCAGGAAGGTGCATCCCAATAAAGGTTTCCTAAAGTGTCCTAAAGAGACAGGTGACAGTGCCATTCATAATTATTCTTAAAAAAATGCTCCTATTCCTGTCTTAACCTTCTTCCTAAAAAAATGTCTCCTATGTGACCCCAGGATACTTAACTGTGCTACAAAGTTCAAGTGCATCTAAATGGCTCTGAGGATAGTGCCAGCTTGAAGGAAAGTGAGTTAATTTAATTCCCTCTTTCCCAGCTTCTGGATATTGTATTCTTTGCACTGAGATAGAAAGGCTAATAAAGGCTGTATCATTGATGATCTTCTCCTACATAACAGAAAACATGCTAGTGTTTCCATCAAACCCATGGAAAAATGGACTTTGTGAAAATCTGACCCTCTAATGCACTATATACATTGTGATTTGCAGCTCCAATACCACATACAATGCTTAATCTGGAGGTATGTGGTTTTTCAGAGATAAATCTCTCTCATTGATCATCCAAGGATTTCCTAACTACATACATGTAAGAACAATTGCCGGTAAGATAGCTTTATTAATTAAAATTAAATTTAAATTAGTGCTACGCTGGCAACATTTCATCATTCACATTTAATTTTCCTAATTTCTCCCTGGCTTGCATACTTTATACATCTTCACTATTCAAATATTAGTTCATCCCAAACTAATCTTAGCCCTGACTGAGCAGTGCTTCACTAGTACAAGTTTACTTATTTTTAAATAAGATTAGAAATCACGGAGATTTCTTTTATTGTTGGGTAGTAGAGACATTTTGCTAATGAATTGCTGGTTTGTCTCCTTTTACTTATGATATCATCTATCTTAACTATATAATGGATTTGGGTGACAGAGGTTAAAGCATCATAATTCACAGAATTTTAATTTCAAGTAGGGAGTAAACAGTACAATGAATTGTAAAGAGATCACGTTCAACAAACATTCAGTGATAGAATTGGGGATGCAAAGACAAGAGGAAAATAATTCTAGTTTAAATCAGCACTTGGTGTTGAAAATCAGTCATTCACAACAGGTTATATTCTGATCTAAATACAGAGATATCTCTAGTTAGTATTTTGCTGGGAGAGGGGAGTGGAGGAAGAATAATAAGACAGCAAAAGACGCAATCACAACTGTGACTAGTTCAGTGAAAGCCCCTGTTAATCGTACAGCAGTGGCCTCAAATGTTAAACTAAGCAAACACAGTTCTACAGTGGGAATCAGTCACACATCCGTACTTGGGTAAGAAAGCTTAAATATGTTAACCTGTCTTCAAAGGGTTGAAATGGAGGTGGAGAGCTCAGACATGAAGATCAAGAATAATCAAAGAATAAGATTACTTTATGAGGAGAGAGCAGAAAAATGAAATAATTAGTCCTAGAAATAGGTAGTATAGAAAAACAGAGAATAATATTGGGAAGGCAGATAAGCCTACTCATACTTTCTTAGAGTACTGGAATTAAGTTTAAAAATAGCAAATTTCAAGACAACACCAATTAAAAACAAAACAAAACAAAAAACAAAACAAACACAACACCCTTTGATACTCAGTCAAATTCTGTATGTAGATTTCATTGCTACAAGATGCTTTGCAGCAACCAAATACTGCTCAATATAGAAGTTACAAAATAAAGATCACTGGAGCAGGGGATGCTTATACAGAAATTAAAGTTTTGAAATTAATACAAACCGTGGTGCTCTTTAGAATAAAACAATCTCCATTTATTGGGGAACCTCTTTTAAAAGACTGTCTCTCTGCAGAAACCTAATGCAGAGTTCTTTCCAAAAACTTTCTAAAGTAAAGAGTCAAGGTTTTTCTCAGATATTGGACTTGGTAAACTGCTTCTACAATCTAGTTATGAAGTTCTTCAATTTCTGCCAATTGTGTGGAGTTGTAATGAAAAGTTAACCCCGTGATGCCAAAATTCTTGGCGTGGAGTTTAGGCTGTGGAAGAGGGAAGCTATAGGCTGCAAGTTACTTTAGAACAGGACCTGCACAGAATAAAGGAAACTGTTAACCTTCCTCTGTAGAGGAGAGCTCAGACACAGGCAAGGTGGCCCTGACACCACAATTGAACACCTAAGATCCTATTCTGCGGTCTGTATACACCTCCTTATTGCCCCAGTGCCTATATCTTCTGGAAGTAGATATTTAGTTAATGAGCATAACCTGATTTTTAAGAGAGCAGATGAAAACTCTTACAAAGCAAACATTTAAAAGCAATTTTTCCTTCAAACAAAACATTGCTTGTCAAAAATGTTTCTGTTGGTTGAAATTAAGCTATTCTGTTAGTGTCCCAGAAAAAAGATAAAACAAGCTATAATTCCTGCACTTTCTCTGGTCTGGTAAAACTCCACTGAACCCAGCGAGGTTACAATTTCACCACCTTCAGAATAATCAGCTCAAATCTAGCTGTGGTGTAAAGCAGTTTAAAGACATATGTTTCAAATATTAACGTGGCTGCAAATGCCTCATTACTTGTACGGAGCCACAGTAAACGTTAACAGTTTAGGTTCAGTTTTGCTCTGAGACCTCTGCTCTGCAGTGACAGCAGGGCAGTAACCCAGAAGGATAAGCAGGTAGCTGGGCTGAGATAGGGGCGGCAGCACACTCTGCTCCGGCGGGCTCCTTCGAACAAAGAGGCTGAGGGCTGGCACTCGCCTCACTCCCTGCCCTGAGCACGTCTGCGGCTCATTTCCAAGAGACCCGGAGGAGGAGGCAGGAGACGGCTGGTGGGACCGCTCACAGCAGGTCCCCACGCAGCGCCACGGCTGTCCCCGGTGCCCAGGAGGGCAGGGTGAGCCGCGGGGCTCCGGGGCTCTCTCACCTGTCGATACTTATCACGCAGAGGGTCATGATGGAGGCCGTGCAGCACATGACATCCATGGCGATGAAGACGTTGCAGAAAAGGCGCCCGAAGATCCACTCGCCGCCGATAAGGTCCGTGACGCTGACGAAGGGCATGACGGCCAGGGCCACCGAGAGATCTGCCAGGGCCAGCGAGACTATGAGATAATTGGAGGGCTGCCGCAGCTTCTTCACGAAGCAGACAGATATTACCACCAGGCAGTTGCCGGCGATGGTCAGAAGGGTGATGAGGCAGAGCACGGCCCCGATGAGAACTTTCTCCACGTTGCCGTAGCTGAGGATTTGTTCCCCGCACTGGGAGTCGTTGGCGGGGAGGGGGCTCGCCGTGGGCAGCGCCGACGGGGCAGGAGAGGGACCGAGCTTGGCCAGGCTGCGCGGGGGCCAGGAGCCGGCGATCATCCTGCCGCCGCTCAGCGCCCGCGGGTCCTCCAGGACCAGGGACCGGAGGTTACCGTAGAGGTGGCTGCCGTTGAGGGCGAGCACCATGTTGGCGTGAGCAGCCCATGAAGCCCCGCCGCCCGCCGTCCGCTCGCCGGCTGTCCCCACCGCGGGAATGCTCGGGCTCCTCCTCGGGTGCCCGGCGCCGCCCGCCCCCTCGCAGCCGGCCGAGCGACCCGCCGGAGACACAGCCTTCAACTTCCCCCGGAGCAGCCGGGCTCGCCCACGGCTCATCCCGGGTGGCCGCGGGGTGGGCACGGCGCCATCGCCCCCAGCCCGCGGGCAGAGGCGGCGCCCGCTCCCCGCCCACCCGTGCCCGGCGCCCGCTCCCACCCGCGGCTGCTTCCCGAAGGCGACGGGATGGGAACCGCTCCGCCCCCGTCTCCCTCCTGCCCTCTGAGCGGCAGGTAGGGGAGCTCCCTTCACTGCAGCCCGGGGCGCCGGTACCTCCTCCCGCCAAGCGAGGGGCGCTCTGGGAACCCCCTATGTATATGTATATATGTACATCTACATACATGCGTGCCCGAGAAGCTGCGGGCGGGTGGCCGGGGCTGGAGCAGAGGCTCCCGCAGGCTGAGCTGCCCCGGCGCAGAGCAGTGCGAGTCTCTCGGCTCCAGCGCGGCTCTGCGGCGGGATCAGCTGCCTCGGGAGCGCCTCTGCCCGCGCTGCCGGCATGGCCGTGCAGAAAGGTTCGGTCGGAACCCTGGCTGCTGCCAGAGTTAGTAGTGGGCGCTCCTTAAGATCTACCCTCCAACAACACGGTCAGCGCTGAAGTACTTCTTTGTATCTTCAAGCTTGAGGATTCTCCTTCGTATTAAGTTGATGTGAATCCCATCACATATATTTTCTCTTTTATTAATATTTATATGCCATTATTTTCAATTTATTCACGGTTCCATGTTTAATCACTTCAGTAAAGTTAAAACCAACAAACTCCCATTGCTTTGAATTACCTGCTTTTCTTGCAGGTTCCCTGAACTCTTTCTTTAAGTCATAGTCTTACCTCCAAATGGGGTGAAAGCTAATTGAATTGTCAGTTGCCCATGGGATGCCAGCAGAAGATTACACCTCTTGGTATAGTAACATGATAGTAAGGATTAAAAAAAGGAAACACTTGCTCCTGAACATTCCCTTGTATTTTCAACAAGAGACAGAAACCAGATGAACTAGAGAAGGAGAGGAAATGAAAGGAGGACCACTGATCCCAGATGGATCAGTTACCAATGTCAGTTGTGTTTGAATGAAGGGGACTCTTGTAGGTAGCAATATAGCAAGTTTTAAGTATGCACCAGTCAGAAGGCAGAACTGTGTGTGAGACCCAGTAGTAAGAGATTCTACAGCATGATCTCACATCATACAGAGTTTAAAATCTTTTAAGACAGGCATAATAAGTGTCTAGCAATTGGAAAAAACCCTCAGTTGACTGTCATAGGCACCACTGAAACATAAATCCATAACAAGTGAGGCTTCCATACTTGGCTCGCAGGATGTCTTGGGGCTTTCCAACATGTGTGATACATTGGCCCATATATGAGTATGTCTAGAACTGAGGGGTTGGGGTCAACTGTGCCTGACACAACCTGAGCACAGCAGAGCCTCAGGTGGTCAGAAACGCAGCAGGCAGTGAGCAGGTTTGTGAGTTTAGTTGCTGGCTCTCCCTTCCACCCCCACATCTTGATTTGACCAAGATAATAAAATAAGCAAGTTTTACATGTTAAGGATGAAATCTAGTAGGGCAGCTCTTGGACCATTACAAAATTGAAAGTGTTTTCCTATTCAGTCACGTATTTTCCTAAACTTTGTTAATTGATTCATTGTGTCTAATCACAATAAAAGCTTTCCTTGTTTAACCATGAAGAATGTGTTCATGAGCCTTGAGCTTCAGGTGAGTAACTCCTCCAGGCAATGAAGCAAGTACTTTTTCTGTCTTCCTCGATTAAGGAAATATTAGAAAGAAAAAGTTCTTTAGAACATTAAAGTTCTTTAGAAAAAGTTCTTTAGAAAGAGTACATTAAAATAAGTTAAAGCATTAAGGCAAAACTTGGAGAAAGGAGAATGTTTAGGACTGAATGAAAGGGCTGAATATATTTTTTAAAAATAGTGTATGAAGTACAGCTAAAAACTTAGGAACTGAGTAAATTTTGTTCAAAATAGATTCACATCATAAAAGCTAATAATATTGTACAATATAATACTCCCAGTAAAAGCAATTTTTCAGTTGCTTAAAATGTCACTAAGGGAGAGCAAATTATAATCTGGTGCTTCCTGCAAATGTGTTGACACAGTTCATTAAATCAGTTATTCTTCTTGACAGCTTTTCAATACATTTCTGGAACGTGGCTCTCTAAATGTTCTCAGTGGATGATATGCAGGATCACTTGTGTGTACTCCTACCCGTTCCAATCTGAAAGAAGAATTTAGCCTCATCTTTTGTTCTGTACCTTAAATTCCCATACAGTTCATTAGAAGTTAATCACCTGATTTCTTTCCTTCTCAAGGGCCATATGTTACCGTTCTTTGTATTTACTCTCATAATCTTATCTTTGAAGAAACAAATCAATTTAAGTCAATTTATGTACCATTATAAAAAGGGATTTACGTACTATTGCAGAGAAAATGTGAAACCTTGGCAAGATGAAGCACCTGATACCTCTCTAAAATATGTTTCTTGAAAGCTTTTCTCTAGGACACATTTAAAATAACATTTCAGTTTTCAGGGCCGGGTTGAATCTGGAGAGATGCTTTCCTTGAGGGCTTTAGAGGTTTTGACATCCTCAGTGTCTGTGAAAATAGAGAGCATCCATCATTCCATGAGATGACAGCTAGTCTAGATACTTAAAACAATGATACATGAAGGTAGGACTTGATGTTTCCAAGGGTACATCCTGCTTTTGTCTTCAGTGATCCTATTCACAAATTCTAAAATGTTGTTCCAGACAACACACAGAAGTGAAATAAATGTCCAATTAGGTGTCAAGTTGACATTTGTTCTCTCCCCAAGAAATTACTTTTTCACCTTCCATTAAGCTTCAATAAATATAATCAAATCATTTTTCTGGCTGAGCTTAGTAAAATCCTGTCCTTTGAGTGATTAAGGCTCTCCATGCATAAAGGTTTCTTAATATGTCTGTATACCTTCAACTCTGTGCTAAGGCCCTTGTCACTCATTCTTTCTTCACTTACTGAAGGTAAAATATTTTGTTCACATGTGATAATGTACTTTATTTGCAAATATCAACTTTGATATTTCACTATTGCTATATAGAAATGTTTCAGATTTTAAAAAAAAGCAAGAAAACTTTTTATTTTGATTTTTTCCTCTCCAAAAACAATTAACTTGTTTTATTTTTTCTCCTCCTCTAGAAATAGTTCTAATAATGTAGCATCTACTGCATTTGTCATTCATTCTAAGTGTATAATATAACAGTGGGTATTGGCATCAATTTGTTGCCCCCAAGTTAGTGAGATAAGTTAAGACAGATCATCAGAACTGGCTCAGGAAATACAATTTCCCAGGTGCATGTTGATTTAGTGAGGCCAGACTGTAGCTATCAAAGTGTTTGTGTTGAAAAACTTGCTCTAAATCCTGGATACTTCATTCCTCCCTGGAGGACTTAATGCTTGCAGTGTTTGTTAAGACAGCAGGTCTGTGTTAGCTTGGAGATCCTGACTGAAATGGGTCAAGGAATGCAGTGCAAGAGCTTTAGCAGTGGAGGAGGAAACTTTGACAGCCTGGCATGGTAACACTTTCCCTCACACAGCTGCCTTTAGAAAACAGCCCTGCTCCTCTTAGCATAAAAGCTTGGAGGCCCTGCTACATTCTCCTTCTTAAACCATTCAATTTTGGATACATGGCAGGAAGGTAATACAAGTGTGCAATGCAAAAAATAAACAGATCAGAATTTTTTCTTGCTCTTTGTCCTTTCTTATCATCCCCTTTTTTGTTCTTCTTGCCTGAGACAGTTTATCTCCCTAAACTGTTGTTTTCATTTGTCTGTTGTAATTTTTATTTGTTTCCTTTTGGTTTCATCTTTTTTTTTTCTTAGAAACCAATATATATATATATATATGTATATATATATATATATCACCTGCTGTTGGGAACAACAAATAAAATATAGGTATACTTTTCTTCTGCCTTGGGGAAATACGTTGTTAAAATATTTAGAATATTTTATGAGAGACTGCTAGAATTCCATGGACAATGATTACTGAAACCTGGATTTTTTTATTCTCAGCATGTACTGTTTAACAAATAAGACTCTTGTCTAAGTTCTAGCAAAGATGTTGCAGCTGCAGTTTTCTTTTCTGCCTTTTCTTGTCTTTGTGAAGATAAATCATTATCACTCTATGAGAGTGAAACAGAGAGGTAAACTTTCTCATCTTTGGCATTTCTTGTTATTGTCAAAATAAATACTTGCATCTGTGCAACTTAAATAGAAATGATGTCTTCCCTTTTTTTAGAACCAACAAATGCTAACAACAGGAAGCTGGCATGTGAAAAGAAAACAAACAATTAAGATGACATTTATGCTAAAAATTCTGTATCGCTCAGAAAATGAGAGCTCCCAACCCTGAAGATTCAGTCTGCACCTTTGCAAAGGAGCTTATTGAGGTTATGAGGTCATGATAAAAGTGACTGTGACATTCATGTTACTGAGTTGCTGAGACAGACAGTACTAAATAACATCTTAGCTCCCTGAAAGTGCTAAATGCAGAACTAGAGCAAAGAAAACCCCATCAGTTGCTACTGTGGACTGCCCATTCAAAACCTGTTAGAAGAATCATTAGGGTTTCTGCATCAAAATTTACTGAAAGGATGCCTTGAGATCAAGGTATATTGAGAAAGAAAACACCTGGAGTGAGGAGATCTGTCTTCACCAAGGAGGACTTCGGGACACTGATGAAAAAAAAGCAGGTTAGAAGCTTGTGGCTTAACAGTGAGGATCATTAGGAGGTTCTAAGTAGATCACTGGGGCTGGTGTAAATAAAAGCAGCAATATCTAAGTAACATCATAGGAAAAAAGGTTATGCACTGGTCTGAGAATATGATTCATGATACCTGATGCTGGAAGTGCTTCATACTCAGATTCTTACATCATTACAGCAAATAGGGTTCTGCAGGTCTTCCATACGAAGATCTGTTTAAAGGTTCTCCATTTTAAATGTCTCAAGAAAAGGTTTGTTTTTCCTGTATATTGCCAGAAAAGGTTTGTTTTGCCTGTATATTGCCAGAAACAAAAGCTGCTTAATCCCGTTTGGTGTCTCTGAACACTGCTGCAGTAAAAATAACTGGTACATGTTCATAGATTGCTTTTTACATTCATTAAGACAAATTGAATCAAGATCCATTGTACACTGAGTCAAAGAAAACCTGAAGTAATACCTTGAGCTCTTCCATTTTTACACATATCAAAGAAAAACTTTGGCAATACCACTCAGGCTGTCCTGCTTATTCAAATGACTGGCAAAGAAGCAGTAGTGGCTGATCTGTTGTCATAGGCAAACACTTTACAGACACAGATAAATCAAAGAGAGCTCCTTTACAGAAATATCTTGTTCCAATATTGTCGAGAGCAAAATGCTGCCATAGTTGTGTCAAGAACAAAGATGGTTTACCAGCTGGTTTGATTTATTTTCCCTTTCAGAGTGATGTGTTTTTTTCCTGTCATAGACATGTGGCAGGCTGTTTTCTACTGACCCTCAAAGCTGCTCCAAACTCCTAGTGCAACGCCTTCAGCCCACAAGTAGCTTCTCTGCTACCACCATCCCAGGTCTTTGTAACCCATCAGACAGCAAAGCCAGAAATATGCCAGGAAGGCACTGTTGTTTCTCAGCCATCCTTCATAAACGATGTGATCACTTTGGTAGAAATGAGTCACAGGTCCTCTCAAGTCCCTTGTGCACAGCTGGCACAAGCTGCATCAAGGACAGACCCCATAAACAGGGACGTATCAGGTTTGACAGCATCGATGCCTTGGCCTGGCATAGAAGCATTTTTGCCTCATTAAGAATTCAGAGGTCCAGACACCCTGTAGACTTTCCCTGGTGTGAATTTAGCTCAGTCTGAAGAGAAAGCCAGGCACACCCTGGCCTGGCCACCTGAAGTCAGACGGGAATCTCAGACCTGCTCTGAGTCACCAAATAAACAAACAAAAAAACCCTAGTGGTAATAGCCATTTGTATTTTACATATTCTGTGCTATTTATTAGTGGTAGAATAGCTTTTGTGCTTTTTGTTGCAGTGCTACACAGCGAACTTGCATCTGATTACAGATTCCTCAGCCCTTCTGCATGCCAGGAGATATTTGTTTTACATGTTTTAACTGACATAGGAAAAAGAACACCTTGCAATAACTAGAAAGGATTACTTTTGTGGTGGTTTTTGGGTTGTTGGTTTTGTTTTTTTTTTTTTTTTTTTTTCATTGACAACGTTCAGGTGGAGCTCAACCAGTTTAACAGGCGATAAATACTTCAGTGCAGCAAAGCTACCGCTCCACCTGGTGGGCACACGGCGGCTCCGAGGAGAGCGGAGAGCCTCGGCCGGCGCCGCTGCGGCTGTGGAGAGCGGCAGGGAGTGGGGGTGATCTCCTTCAGATCCAGGGTGATCTCCTTCAGATCCAGGGGTGATCCCCTTCAGATCCAGGGATGATCTCTTTCAGATCCAGGGGTGATCTCTTTCAGATCCAGGGGTGATCCCCTTCAGATCCAGGGGTGATCTCTTTCAGATCCAGGGGTGATCTCCTTCAGAGCCAGGCGTGATCTCCTTCAGATCCAGGCGTGATCTCTTTCAGATCCAGGCGTGATCTCCTTCAGATCCAGGCGTGATCTCCTTCAGAGCCAGGAGTGAGCTCCCTCAGAGACCCCGCCTACGACCCCAGCAATACAACCCACGGGCTTTCCCCTGCCCATGGCTTTCCGAACACCTCCGGCCGGAGCGCTCCCGCGGCCACGAGCAGCCCCCTTTCCCTCGGCTGCTGGGATGCTGCGGGTGCCGCCAGCCCGGCGCGGCCCGGCACGGGACGGGACTACAGGCCCCAGGCTGCCGCGGGCGGCCGGGGGGCGGTGCCGCCGCCCTGCGTCGCTGCCGTGCCCGGCATCGGCCCGCCCGCCCCGGCGTGAGCATGGCCGGGTTCGCCGACCTGAACCTGCCGCAGGGGCCCGACAAGAAGTGTCTGCAGAGCCTGCTGGAGGCGGCGGCGCACCGTGAGTCCGGGCGGGGCCGGCCCGGGGGGCAGCGGGCCGCGACCGCCGGGTGGGGGAGCGCAGCCGGAGCCTGCGGGAGGGGGCGGGCGCAGCCGGGCTCTCCGGGATGAGCTTCTCCTTCCCTCCACGCCAGCCAACCCCTCGCCGTCCTCTCCCACGCGGGCGCGTTTTCCCTGGCGCCTCTGCGCTCTCCCTGTCCGACCCGCAGTTCTCTGCAAGTGGCCGGGACTGAGCGGCGGGGGAAGCTCGTGGTGTGCTTTGCAGGCTCTGTGTCTGCTTATCCCAGCGTAACAGTTGTGTTTTTCCCAACCCAGGCAAGTTTTTCCGGCTGCAGTTTCTTACGTCCCGTCTCTTTTCCCGCAGAACTGTTGTACAGCCGGGTGCTGCCTGCCCCGTGTTTTGGGGGTGATTTAAATGCCATCTGTCAAGTGTACCATCTTCCTCAGAGCCCCTCTGAACGACACCTTTCAGTTTCGTCGGCATCATTTTGAGTCCTCACATTTGCCTTCTCCAGTAACTGTGTCTCTCCCAGCTCTGTGTCGTCTGCAGTTTTAACAACTATCCTGAATGTACTTAACAGTTTTCCCTAAAGAAAGTCATAAACAACACCAAACTCGGCCACATCTTTGAGGATTCGAACCCCAAGTATTCGTGTTTGTAAAGCTCTGCCGTTGAGTAAAAGTTGTCAGGCCTGGGATATGTTAAAAGGCCAACAGTTTGAATTTTTTATTCTAGAACACTTTTTCGGGTGAACCAGTCTTCTAAGACAAATAATGTGAAAGCTAAATATGCACCTGATTTATTAATTTTAAGACCTTTAAGTAATGAGTGTTTAACAGTTTTCTGATTGGATTTGTTTCCATTAGTTTAATGGAGACAAAATACTCTTATTGTGTGTTTTTCAGTGGGATATTCTGCAGTTGCTCTTAATCATGTCATCGATTTTAAAGAAAAGAAAGAGGTACTATTTCTTGGGGTTATTTTTTTCACTGTATTTTCTCTAGTAAACCTACTGCTTTATTGCATGTTCCCATATAGCTTTATCTGCAGAATGCACATCTAGACACAAGTACAAACCTCTGTATTTGTAGCAAAGCTCCCATTTTATAATTTAATATTATTGCCCTGTGGTTAGTTTTTATTATGGTTCATGTACTGTCCCAGGGAAATAGTTTTGTTAGCATGGTAAATTTCTTCTCATGATTGGAACACAGCTTTTGTTTACTTGTAAACCTAACCCATCACGTTTTTAATAACTTTGTTCTGCTCTCTTTTAAGGAAATCATCAAGCCAGTATCTCCTTCAGAGTTGTTTCCATCTTTGCCTATTGTACAAGTATGTCCAGTTACATTCTGTGTATTATTATTTTGAGTTACGTTTTCTTATCTTGGTGTGTTTGTACATGTGATTTTGTATATTAGATGTTAATCAGAAAAAAGAAATTTGTACATTGTTTGATGGTTAAAAGCACCAAGCTTTGGAAGAATGGTACACTCACATTAGAGTAGTCTCTTCATTATTTTAGAAATTTTTAAAGATTGCTTTGTGTGAATTTTGAATCTGCTTGTAGCTGAATAATTACAATATAATTCTTGAAATTTGAGCTTTGGAAATAACTTCCTGGTTTTGATGAAGCAAAATGTGGATATAATAAAATACAAGACTGTATTTCAGGTCACTGATATTGGTTAATTCAGGAACTTGCAGTGACCTAGCTGGGGAATCATAGCAGTAATAAAACAGAGTCAGTTTTTCTGCATGATTTTTTTTCTTTATTTCTTTCTTTTTTCTTTCTATTGGCCCTTACTCAGAGAAACACAATGTCATTCTTTGTAAGGATGAGTATAATATCAAAGAGACTATATAAATTAGGGAAAATTAGTATAGCAAGGTACCATTTTCTTTCTATAGCAGGCTGGGTGGAAATCACCACAAATTTTTTCTTTGATGGTTTTTAAGTCTTCTACATTATTTCTTTTTCTGTAGGGGACATCTAAAAGAATTAAAGTCTTAACCCGGCTAACACTTGTTGTTTCTGATCCTTCCCACTGTAATCTCTTGGTAAGTATATTTAGCACTCAGTTTTCCAATTTTTATTTCTTCTTCTCAGTGAATGAATAAAATTTTGGAAATTTTATGGGGAGAACTCCCTAGATTTTATAGGGCACTCAGCAGTGATTTCGCAGATTGCTTCTTTAGTTAATGTGATCATGAAGAGATGCAGACTTACAAGACTGGATATGGCTTCTGCTGGTCATGTGTCAATATGGAACAATAGTTCTGTTCCTGGGTTATTTTCTTCGATTTCTGTACTTCTGTGCATAAACTGGAAGACCATGAGCAAGCCTTGGGTCTGGTTGTGTTTAGTGTTACATGATCGAAGCAAAAGGTGTAAGTGCTTTGGTAGGTGGGTGGCAATAAGGCTCAAATTGAGAATGAATGACTTCACAGTAGAGGCCTGCTGTGTGATTGGATGATTATTGGCTTTGTTTTAGTACTAGGGAAAAAGAAATTTTCTTCTCATTATTTTGGTTTAATCATTGTGCATAGCTTTGCTATCTGCCAGAATTAAAGGTAGTAATTTTTTGCTCCTTTTGTAGAGATCAACATCTGCAAATATAAGGTTATATGACATCATAGCAGTATTTCCAAAGACTGAAAAGCTGTTCCATGTAAGTACAATCATCTGATCTGTAATGCTTATTCAATATCTTTTAGTGCCTTGAGCTAGTTTAAGTACATGCTTTGTTTTGATTTTATTTCCTGTTTTATAAAGACCTTATGGGGCTAATTAAGCATTACAGGCTGCCTGGTCAGTTAATAGTCTGAGCAGGTCGGGAGGGATTGCAGGAGGCTGCAAGGTGACAGATCAGAGTCTGAAACATCTACCTGATCTATCTGATGAATGGACTTGTCTGCCCCTGTACTGTGGTTGCCTTGTGTGTGTCTTGTACTCTGGTGAGCAGAGAAAACATCCTTTTTTTTTCCCCCTGAAATATGTGTGTTATCATCATGTAGAAAAATTCTCTCTTGAACTTTAGTGTCTCAAACTCTAACTTCCCCAAAACACACTTGTGATCTTCCGTTAGCATTGATTGTTCCAGGTCTCTGAAATGCTGGGGAGGATTTTAAAGTGCAGCTAATGTGGTTCTGAGAGTTACCTTCTTCCTTTTAGTCCTAGGTCCTCTCCTGAAAGTTTGTCCAAAAAGAATACCTTTGGCATATCTTTCTTCTTTTTCTTTTTCCTTCTTTATTTTAAATTAAAAGAGGAGCAGGAGCTTACAAGACAGAGCCAGTTCTGGTTGTCGCAGCATCTTATGAACAGATAAACTAAAATTTCCGAAAGTAAATATGCCTGATTAAACCCAGTAGCCCTTGCTCCATTGTCAGACTGAGATTTCTGTCTTTTGTTTTGAGTGTTTTGGATGCTTAAGTTCAATGAGAGAAGCTTCACTTCTGTGATTTCATGATACATCTGTTACTTTGCCTGCTGAGAAAACCATTGAGGCTGTACAAAAGTAGAACAGCCTCAGGGGAAACACTTGAAGGGCAGACGGTCATTTTCTCACTCAGATTTTATCCTGACTGTTCAGAGTAAACTTGCAACTGAAAAATACCTCAATAAAATTGGTGAGTCTTTGAAGGTGTTACTGAACAGATGCTGATGTTTGTAGCAGTGGTAGGGCTCCCAGCATGAGAGAAAATAGCGGGTGTGAATAATTTTTATTTAAATTGTTCTCAAATACTTGTTAACAGCTGATGTCAATGCTCTTATCAGGTGGAGCACTTTAAAGCAAATGATGTTTTTATCAGATTTTTTCTTAGAAAACCCAATATTGTGATGTCTGACCTGTTGTAAGCTCATAAATATCATTAAGTCTGAACTGTGAGAGTAGATGGAAGCATCCCATCTCTGTTAGCCTTGGCAGGAGGAAGCAGGCATGCTTGCTGTGTGAGGCAGTGTTAAGGAGGCACAGGGACACCTAAAACAAATGTGAGTCTCTTTGGAGAATTTACTTTCAAAGGGAACTTGTCAGTTTAAAGCTGAGTGTGGTAGTTGGCTTTTCTAAATAAGTTAAAGCTACTTTCTAGTACTGTTGAGTACCTGTTTTGCCACATTAAAATTACATTCTGTTTTGGTTTTCTAATTTATTTCCCCTCCTTTTTGAAGATTTAGCCAAGTAAAGTATAAAGCAAAAGGCTGTAGAAGGTGAACTTTAAGGAATCTTTCAGCAGAAGAATTCAAGCATTAATTGTAACAGTTACAGCTTAATGAAACTAATTTCTGAATTTTATTTCCTGTGCAAGATTTTAGAACTCTTGGGGGTGTGATGGAGGCAAACGGTTGTAAAATACTTTTGAGGGCCACTCTCCACCTCTCTTTTGATCTCTGGCAACAGTATAAAATCTTACTTCTTATGTGAGCTCAATCAGTTATCATATGTTTAAACAAGTTTCTGAAGTTAGATAATCAGCAGGGTTTATGCTGTGTTGTTTTCTGGAGAAAGGATGTGCTCTCATTTAAGGGTGATTATTGTTTATTTTCAGCCATATCATGAGTCCTGCTGCAGTTGGACATCCAGCTGTGGCGGTGCTTAAGCTGTCATAAACATTTCTGCACGAAAAACACTCATTTCTGCAGGGCTCTGACTGCTCTGCTGGTGAGACTGCTTGTATGCTTAGCTGCCTGGCAGTTTGCTTTGAGGAACATGCTTTTGGCTGAACAGTAACCAGAGTTTTTGCCAAGTTATTTTTCAGGCAGATCTACTTTTCTGCTCTGATTCAGCCATGTGGATCGTTGTGCTGGCACAAAGTGGATGGCTGTGCTCTGGGCAGGCCAGTGCAGATGGAGACTGGTTAAGGTGACACTCTGGCAAGTGATGTACAGTGTGTTAGGACAGAAGAAGGATTATCAGTGAGGCCATCTTCATTGCTTCCATGCTGGCAGCACTTAGAGCTGGGGATGGAACCCAAGCATGTTTCTTGAAAACCACATGAGGTGAAAGACTTCATCCTTACATGTTCACATTCAGAGCAGGTTTGAATGTTTGTCTTTTAAGATTTTAGATTTTCTAAACTCTCTGTGGAGAGCTATGTCAGTTTTCTAGAGTTATCATAGGGGAGTCTGACACAAGTGACATTACAACTGGGGTTTCGGCACCTACATTTAGCTCTTATGACTCATGGATATTTCTCTGTTAGAAAATTGGCTTTTGGTAACTCAGCATTACCTCAAGGGAATGAGGAAGCCATGTTTACCAATTGTAGAACAGGCTTCTTCTTTAAGTCTCCCAAAAGGATTGTTTTGGGCTGCAATAGGAATACCCACTCTGTACCAGTAACAAGGTCTGTTCCTGTTGCTTTACAAAACTTTTGCTTTTTAAGATTTCGGAATGTTAATTGTATTACTTACCTCTGTCTGCTGTTTGTAAGCAATTAGCAGATCACCACTATCTAAAAAAACTTGCTCATGTCAGTTTCAGGATGTGGTGCAAAGCCACATTCCAATGTTTATTCCTAAAATATTTGCCAAAGCTTGCTTCAGAGCGTCCAAACAGTGGCGAATTTATTTATTTATGGCTGTCTGGAGTTTCCCAGCAGGTGGGGCTCTTGCCCACAGTGCAGCCAGGCAGTGCTGGGCTGTGCAACCACTGGATGTCATTTTCTGTATGAAGGTGTTGCACTTCAGATCCTTTCAGCAGGCAGGGTCACCTTAAGTGCCTGCATGTGTGACTTGTGAGCCAGAGCTTGGCTGAACATAAGGGTGTCTGGAATAATCTCCTCTTCAGTTTTCCATGCAGTGCAGGAATTCCTTAGGAGGAAGTATGACTCTTAATTTTGTTTTTGCTTGGTGGTATTTTCTGAAATGTTCTGGTCACTGGAATCCTGTAGATATCCTGGCATTTGAGTCACTCTCTCTCTGACTGTACTTAATTTGCAAACTGGAAAAGACTTTTCCAGTGTTTCTGGAGCTGATTAGGAAGGCTTGATTTCTCATGACATAGGGAAGCTTGAATGTTTCTGATGTCTATTCTTGCTTTCCTTAATTTTTAGCATTATCGCTTCCTATATTTTCTATGGCCTCACTGACATCCTTTCAAGAACATGATTCACAGCTATTTGTTCTGTGCATGTTCTTGTAAATCACCTCTCTCTGGTAGTTTGTATTTCATGTAAGAAAAGGAGGAAAACTGGCTGAACTTCCACATGCAAGTTTAATTCTATACAATAGATTCGAACAGTGTCCTGCCTAACAGAGTTGATAAAGGTAGGGCATGAAAATTAAGTTTAGTCTGAATGGCCTGGTAGATAATATTTTAACTTCAAAAACCTTGTGGTTTGACCGCATGTGTGCTGTGGCTGTCTTGTCTAGGAGGGAGTGCTATCAACAGCTAAGAAACATTCCTAAAGCTGGGCTTCTGCTCTCATCTCCATCCAAATTCTGTATGAACACACTGGTGGAAGAGTAGTTTGCAAAGCAATAGGGCTGTCTTGCATCAGAGCATCCACCCCCAGGACTGCCCACAGCCCCCACTGCTTTCATGCCGGTGGGAGGAGGGATGAATGGTTGGCGCCTGGGCCAGGTGTATTTGGAACAGTTGCTGGCAGGTTTCTGAAAGCAGAGAGTTCCTCTACACACAAAAATTCGTTTTCAACTTCTTCAGTCTATTTTATTTTCTTTGTTACAATGCTGCTTGCAGATATTAGTCTGGCCCCACGTACTCATCTTTATTGGATAGGCACATATAATTCCTACGTATCTTGTGTGCATGAGGTTAATGTAAATCAAGGGCTCCCTTTTATGTGCAGCTAATTTTCCCTGTATCTCAGTGTGATGAGTCTCCACCCTTTGTTCATTACCTCCATCTCTTAATACAACCTGTAAATTGTGGTATGAATTCAAAGCTCAACTTTTAAACTCTAGCCTTCAGTGCCATCTTCAGACCCCATCAAAGGTGTGGATCTCAGGAAAAGCTTCACATTCTCCACCCAGTCAGGAAAGAGAGGCTCTGTGGATCAGTCTCCAGTACTGGGCATGTGACACTGCCAGTCACTGTCTAAAATTCTGCTTTTCTTTCAGTCTTTATTGCTTTTGGTAAAAATAATTAATCCTGAAAACAAACAGGTGCTGCACTGGAAGTAGAGCATGATGGGATAGGGGGCAGTTCCTGGGTTGTTCCCTGTTATAAACTGGGGTTGTCCCTATCACAAGTTGAACCTGTGAGTTCTTTTGTCAAAAGTCAGTGTTGTTTCTGCATGTCCTCTGTCAGATAAAAACAAAGCAGTAAGTCTTGCTTTGGGGTTGGTCATTATTTTAGTGGAAAAGTAGCTCTCTGAGTGAGGGAAGACTTGGGGTTTAAGCCTCTGATGCTGAGGCTGTGCATCTGTAGCCCTGCTGTTCTGTTGGCATTCCTGCATGGCATAGTACCTCTTAATTTTAAAGCTGAACTGACCCTGGAGAGATGCTTGTTGCATTAAGAAATGAAGAATGTTAATGCACCTGAAGTTGGTTATGTGTTTTCTTTGGCATATCTAATAACCTGTCCCTATCTCTTTGCTGTAGATTGCTTGCACAACTCTAGATGTGGATCTGGTATGCATAAATGTAACAGAAAAGCTGCCATTCTACTTCCGAAGGCCCCCTGTGAATGTGGTAAATTTACATATAAATTGTTTTCTTGTTGTTAGACTGAACGGACATTAAATAAAGAATTTGAGTTGAATTCCCTACCCCTTTCCTCCCACCATTCCCATCCAAGTGGTTCTTTTATTTTCTTGCATAATTTAGGGTGTTGTTCCAGATGTGCCTCTCTTCAGGGCTTCCACTGCAGCATTTAATACACAGTGGTGTATGTTCTGTCTTTTTCTCCTCCTGTCCCCCACTTTGGAAGGCAGAAGTGGTGTTCCCAAGGAATGGAAACAGAGCCTTAAGGCCACTACTCTGCCAGCAATGAGATGTGGTGTGATTGCTGACTAAGCTGCTTCCCAAACCAGAAGTAGTACAGCTGTGTCAGAATAGATGAACAGCCCTGTGATTTAAAAGATAAGAAACGTGAATGACAATGTTAATTTAGGAGAAGGATGTTGTGCTGGTTCCTTGGAAGACAACTGCATTGAATCCACACTTAGACAAAATAATGTCTTGGTTATTGAACGAAATGTGAAATTTCTAAATATCTACTATAGGACACAAGATGGCTGTCAGCATGAATCCAATATTTTTTTAATTCAGTTCTACCTACTTTGGTGACTTGCCAGAAAGTTTAATCTGAACATGCTCTTAGGTGAACTAGTTTTTTCCTCTGAATATATAGTGCTTAAAAATTTAAATTTGGAATTGGCTAGTAATCCTACTTCATTTTCTCAGAAAGTTTGACCTAGAATAAAAATTAAAATTTAGCTAGAATTAATTCTGAAACAGAATAAAAATATTACATCAGATTTTATTATAAACTGAGAACTTCAACATTCCACCTGAAATAACAATTTTGTATTGAAATGTTGTTTGAGAGTACCCTAGCTGCCTAAAACTCTAGAAGATGACCCAGGTAAGGAGCTGTGTGGCTCTTGGAGCCCTGTGTTGGGAGACATTTTCCTTACAAGCTACTTCTCATCTTTCACACTCCCAGCTTCAAGGCAGTCTGTCTGTTGGACTGGTTTTGTGCATCCTGGGGCAGTCAGTTTTGGTTGTTATGATGCCAGACAGACAGATTGGCAGGCGGCTGAAGTGATGGGGATGAGGTTAAAAATCTGCTTGACTGGAAATTGGTGTACTGCCATCACCTGTTTCAGTTTTGATAAAGTTTCAGGCTTCTCTTGTTTGCAGATGTCAAACCAGTTCTGTGTAAACCATTTGATGCATGCATAGCTTCTGTTGTGCCTGCACGCAGAGGTCATGCATGGATGGGAGCTGGATTAATTCCATCTGTATTCAGTTACTGGACTCTCTTACAGTATTAGCATTGCAGCATATTTTAATAATACGAGTATAACGCATAGAGTATCACTTCAGGCAAATGTAGTATAGGCCATGGACCAAAGAACTCCCAGCTTTAAATTGTGTCTGTATCGCTAGTGCGCTGTGCCCTATAGCAAGTTGCTTAATCTTTCTCTGCAAAAACAAGAATACTAGGCTTTTGGTGAGGTACTTTGACAGATGGCAAAGATTTTAAAGTAGCTGAAAATATAATCAGTATTACTATTTGGAACCTCTTCTGTGACTCAGTGTTATTTAATATTGTCACAAATACCAGAGTATGCTGTGAGACAGAAGAAGAAGGGTCTTGATTGCTGCTTTTATGCAAGGACAAATTCTTCATTTGCAAGACATGAGTACTGTGGGAAGTGATGATCTTTCTTACAGCAGGGTGTGGGACTAGAGGAGTAGAGTCCTCAAAGTTTCAAGACTTGTTTCTGAGCAGCAGTGTTTACCTGTTTCCTCGTCTCTGTGATAGTGGAAAGCCAGTTACAGCAACTAAGTGGCTGGTAATTCTTTGTTTGTTAAACCTCATTTATCTATCATCCCAAGATTCAAGTACACATATCTGGATGTACAGTGCAGCTTTCCCCTATGATCCTTTCATGCTATGCTGGGCTCTTGCTGGAAAAATTCTGCCTTAATTTCTTCATATATAAAACAGTTAAACTGAGAATAAGTGACATCAGTAATAGACAGCACTTGTTAGACTGTTCGGCTTCTCTCCTTTTGATTTTTGATTACTCCCTTTCATGCGAAGGCAATAGATCGAGGCATTTACTTTGAACTTCTTTACACACCTGCCATCAAAGACTCCACGATGAGACGATACACAGTTTCCAACGCGATCAGCTTGATGCAGATCTGCAAAGGAAAGGTAAGCTCTCAAAGTAAAAACAAGGTAATTAATTCAGTTCAAATTCTTCTAGAGTTGTACAGACTGAGCCATTTCAAATGAGTTTGATGCCCAGGTATCTGAAGCTGTGACTGAATCTTTGCCTACTAACACAAGGACACAATTATTCTAGCTCCAGATACTTTCAGCCTTTCACCACTGCATGCTTGCTTAAGTTGTCAAGCTCTTAGATTCCTTTTTCAGAACAACCTGGGTGTTTTTATGGTGTGCAATTCCCAAAACAAAGGTGGGAGGGGATGGGGAGAGAACAAAGTTCCAAAGAGCTAAGGTTTGCACTAGAACTGAAATCCATGCATTTCTTTCAAATCCCCCATCTCATATTTCTGATTGACCCCAAGCTCTTTTTTTTGATATATTAAATACCGGGGGTAGAAAACAATAATAAAAAATGTAGAAATCTTGTTCTGTTAAATGGTTAGTAAATTCCCTGTGTACAAAACAGACCCAACAGCTAGCTGGCTGTCAGCCAAGGCTTTGCTGCAGTCAGGTCGACTGCATTCTTCCATGCTACTGAAACCCAAGGAAGAAGTAATGCCGAGACGCCTGTAATCCATTGCTTTCATAACTTCCCTCCTCCCAGGCTACCAGGTTAAGCTGTCTGTCATGCTGGGTCCTCTAAGGCCATGATTTTTTAATAGGAAAGCATATCATAATACATATCCAAGTTAAAAGGAATTGTAGCTCCTGCCAACTTTATTGGAAATGGCCTTTGCCACAGCTAGTCCAGAGAAGCTGAAATTTGCCTTACCCTGCAAATCTAGTCTGAAGTGGGATATAGAACTTGGAAGGCAAATTAAAAGTAGATCCATCATTACATTGTATACACAGCAGACCCCTTTCCTTTGGCATTCCTTTTTTTCCAGTGCTTCTCTTTCCTCTGTGCAGTTCAAGATGTGCTTCTCACGTGGTTGTTGTTTTGGAGAGCACCAGTTGAGTTGATGTCAAAAATAGGGCAAGTGAGATGTTCAGATGCTCAGGCTTGCATGGTGTCCTTTTGTTCTGCATCTGTCAATCTGTAGCCAGTAGAGATAGTTATTAGTCCTTACTGACAGTTTGCCTCCATCAGTCATGTAAAGGCGCTTTTTAAACTTTTTTTTTCAATGAGACATGGGATGGTTGGTCCATAGGCCTCTTGCATTGGCACCTGGCACACAACTCTTGCCTTTTGTCATGTTTAGTTACTGAACTTGTAGAAACTTTTGGATCCTTTGGTTCTTCCTCTGTTGTAGCAGGGCAGAGAAACTTCCAGAAATGTACTGATTGTCCTCAGATCTGGCATTGTGCGGAGTCCTTAAAACATGTTAAAGTATGCAGGGAAAGAAGAAAGGACTTGCCTGCCTTGCTAGACAGAAGGTGTGCATAGCCACAGTCCCTCACCTCCTATGTTTTGGTAACTGAGTCGGAGTGCTGCCTGGAGCAGTGTTCTGAACAGCTGCCGTCTCCTTTACCTGGGGAGATAGTGTTTTGCCTTTGAGATTTTCCCTTTAGCCCTTCCCTTAGATTTACCTTTGCCTGCTTCTCTTTTTGCTTTCTAGCAGTGCTTTTCTTGTCTGCTCTTGTCTCCTTCTCCTGTCTTACCCATTCTCTGATGCCAGCCTGTTGCCTTTGAACCAGGCAGAGTGTATCTCCAGTGCACAGTGGTGAACCACAATCCTGTACTGGTTCAAGATCTTGCACAGCTGCTCTGGGAGCTTCTCTGAGCCTGGGACATGGGCATTAGTTGCTAGAGCTTGGAGCAGGATGTTTGAATTTTCCCAGCAAACCCTTGCAGTCAGCACCTCTGAAGCTCAAAAGCACCCTTGGGATCCATAGTGCAGTCAATTTAAAGGTGAACTATGCAGAAAGAAATGTCCTAGGCTGCCATCAGGACGTGTGCTGTTAAGTCACTATGGTGTATGTATTGCTTCTGCTTCTGGCTTTCCTTATGGTAAGGCAGAATTGTCTGTCCCATCCTCTCCTCAGCACACAAGGAAACCTTGGGCACAGTGTGAACATACAGTCATTGTCATGTAGCTTTCACATGTTGAGTTCCAGTTGCACACAGGGCATTTTCTTCCAGTGTCTGTCCTTCTCTTTGTGCTGGGGAAGGTGGCAGGACAAGCAGAGCAGTGTGGGGAAGGGATCTAAAGCCCCACCTTGAAAGTGGAGGTGGCATGATGTGTTGGTGGTACTGATGCCAGAGAGGGAAAGCCTTTTGCTGCCTCAGTACAACTGTCATTCCCACCCACTCAAGCAAGAATTCCCAAAGTTTTTTATTCAATATAATAAAAGGTGCAAGGCAGTTTTGCTGCTGCAGCGTTTCCACCTGTGCAAAACAGTCTCCCTCTGGGTGAGCATCCTTGGAGGTTTAACTTTAGAAAAGCTCTGGCTGCTGAGCTGTGGTATCTGCCAAGCCCTGCGTACTCACATACCTGTTTTGCAGAAACCTTGTAGGAGTGAAGGGAGAAGGATTTCTTTCAGCCTGACAATTTTCACAGGGGTGCCAGTGTTGAGGGAAATGAGTGTATGGCACGAATTGGCAGCCACTGCCTAGGTGTAGATAGGTTTCCTGAACCACTGTGAGTCTGATTAAGGCCAACATGAATGCTGAGCTTAGCATCAAGCTGTACTGCAACAGAGTAGGCTGAAAATTCAGGAGCACCAAACTATCTAAAGGCACTATCTGTAAGCAGCTTTTGGGGGACCCTGGACTCCTAGATCCATTTCCATTACAGCTCAGGGCAAGTTGTTGTTTGTAGGGGGCCTCTTTCAGCTGCTGCAAATAAAGGGGGCACTTCTTAACACAGTGTCTTCAGCTCTGCATTTATTTTCTTTACCCTTAGGGTCCCTTTGAAGTCCACTATGAGTGATACAGGCTGATAGGTGCTTGCTTAATGCCACCACTCTTGACATTTATACTGCTTAGCCTGTCCCTGTTAAAGGTGCTGTACTTACTCAACTCCTGTCTGTCTGTGAGAGGTTTATAACTGTAAGGGAGGGCTTGTGCCAGTGCCCCTCTCTGTGTAGGGGATAGGGCAATAACTGAGTTTAATCATGTCCTCAAATTAAGATCCCCACCCTGCTAAATTCACTTCATCTGAGTGCCTCAGATACTCTGATGTTTAATTGAGCTCTGAGCCTGAACTTAGTTAATGCTCATAAAGTCTGGGCTTTTGCTGATTTTTTTTTTTTCATTTCTTGATGCTGTCTGACAGATGAATGTTTGTCTTCTTTTGTTTTCCAGAACATAGTTATATCTAGTGCAGCTGAAAGGGTAGGTCCCAGATTTTTTTTCTTTTGAAGTCAGAACAATTTAAAGATTTATCTGTGGCTTAAAATACAGCTTTAATTAAAAACTAAATATATAAAAATTGTAAGTTTAAATATGATTGCCATCTTCAGGAGTTTTTTAATCAATCTGTTTTACAAAAGAATTGTATTATGGGTTTGGGGATTTTTGTTGGTTTTGTTTTGTTGGGGTTTCTTGAGGTTTTTTTTTTTTGCTGCTGCAATATTTTCCATGACAGTTTTCTCCCAGCTGGGGACTCTGTTTGCCAAAACAGTGGTATTTGTTTGATTTCCTAGTGTATCTTTAGCAGCTTGATATAATGTGCTATTTAATCTTGCCTTCCTGATAGCCTTGTCCTGCTTGCTCACACTGTCAGCCTGCAAGTGAGGGCATGCACGTATTCAAACTTCTTTGTTTTTTTTTAGCCTCTAGAACTACGAGGTCCTTATGACGTGGCTAATCTGTATCCTTTTCCCCAGTCAAAGACAGCAGTTAGTAGTAACACTTGAAAGTTCAAAGTGGTTTTGAAATCCTTTCATCCTTTACAGTCCTTGAACTTTATACAGTGATACTTGTTGGTGACCACTTCAATGAATCAGGGCTCTGTGCGTGTGTGGAAGGAGCAACAGATCTTGGTCATGGGGTGGTATGAGTAGTCACTGCAGATAGTAATGTCTGTGTTCAGATACAGGTATGTTTTGCTGTGATATGCATTGATGTTGTGTGGGTGTAAATGGAGAAAGTAATTAAAAGCATACAGTTCTATGGACACTGTGAACCAAACAAGAAATTATTACTTAGGATTTCCAAAGTGCCACATATTTGGTAGCAAAAGCTATAAAATTGTATTTATGTAAAATTAGAAGAAGTTTCTATCTGAGTGCTGATTACTTCTGAATTTTCCAGTCCTTAGTTATATATGTAATGTTAAATAAGTGGTTGTGTTCTAGAAACCGAGGAGAGTGTCCTTCCTTCCCTTCTTTTAAGAATTTAGATGCATTTTTATTACTCTCCCCACCCCACAAGCACATCTCTGAACTGTCCCTCGAAGGGAAGGAGCTTTCTCTGAGTCATGAGAACTGTGTGGGAGTTTATGCGGCCTGGAAGGATTTTTATGTGCAACGTTTTCTTCCCTCTTAAAATGAGCAGTCAGGCTCAAACCAAATTAACACACCTAATCTGGTGTCATCCCCACCAAAGGTGGCTGGACATTTTTCAGCATGATGGTTTTGTATCAGATAGTGCCCTTTCCCCAAAACTGAAATTTTCCATGGGGTGATTTTTTTGCTTTATTGTGCATATCTAAAATGTTCCTGCATTGACAGACTTTTCTTGTCTGGTAAAAAGCAACGTTGCCAAGAGCTTTCCAGGAGGGCTGCTGGGGAACTGCAGCCAGGAGAATTGGGTGCCTCAGTTCCCTGCCTCTGGGTAACCTTATGCAAAATGTCACTTTGAGTTACAGCTTTGCTAATTCCCAGTTATTTGTAGAGTAAGCAAACCTACGTGCAGAGAGACTTCCCTATTCTGTTTGCTCCTTTCTGTGCATTTTGATCCTGAGCAGTGGTGACAGAGGTTTGCTGTTTGGCCTGTCGGAAAGCGAAGCGAAGGCAGCTGTGTCCACCAACTGCAGAGCCACCATGCTTCACGGAGGTGAGCACTTGTAAGCTCCTCTAAGCAACATGTGCGTTTGCTAAAATAAATTCCTCTTACTGCGTATTTTCCAAAAGGTCTGAGACCTTACAAAGCAAGTCAGATTAGGGTTTTAGCTCCCTTGTCCAGTGAATGAAGAGGAGCTTGTGTGGCAAGGGGTTTTTATTTTTCCATGTAACCGTGTTAGCAAATCAGTGGGGGAACCGGTGGTGCTGTCTGTGCTGGAGCATTTGCTTAACCACATTGACGAGTCTTAAACGGTTTAGCCAAAACAGGGACCTGCCTGCTGTGCTTTGTAGTGAAACTATCCCCTCTTTCAGAACAGGTTCTTAGTTTCTTGACTTTTTTTTTTTATTCTGATGGCAGTTTAACTTTCTGAGTAGTCATATCTAGCTCTTAGTTTCAGCCTCTGTCAAGGTTTGTTGGGTAGGTATGATTTCTAGTCACCTTCCCAACAACTTGAGTTGCTCTAAGGTGCAAATGCACAGTAGGATTTGGGTTGCATCTCTTGTTTCAGTAGAGGTGGGGCTTGAACTTACTGTAATTCACAGCAGGTAGCTTTGATCTCTCGATAAGGGTGTTCCTGTGAGCAGGGTCCTCCTCCAGCCTGCTGCTTATCTACATAGAGACATGGATTGTGTTGAAAGAATTTTTGTCAAGTTTATGTGGAATTTCTCAAGACTGCCATCTATCTTATCTGTGAAATTAAATAGCAGATGTTGTTTCCCTGTCCCATAAAGAATTCTAGCCCAGAATAAGTCAATATATTTTGGCAAGGTCCTTTCAGAGCCTCTTTGCTAACAGATTATTTGTAGGGAATTTATTCTGCTTTCAAATTTTGCAGAGAAGCTTCCCACCAGTCATTGTGAAGTTGGATTGGGCTCACTAGGTTGTTTGGCAAATATGAGGATTTTGGTAATATCATACACTAGTAGTTTATGGTAATGTTGAGGATTCAATAAATAAAATTCTTGAGTACCACAAAACCACTTATTTGGTATGTAGGGGATTCTCTGCTAAGATAGCTGTGCCAGCATAGTCTGTTTAGGAGTCCTGGGATATATGAATGCATTTTTTTTAATTTTTTTTTAAGAACACTATTTTTGGCTCAGAAATGCTTTTGACAATGCTTCAAGAATGTGTCCTTCTGTGACTACTGAACTGATGAAGCCTGGTTTCCTATGGATTTGTGTCTCTGCAGCCCCTCAGCCCCTGCAGACCTCAGTTTTCCTTTGTTTGCTGTAATTTTACATCAACCATTGTATTCCCCCCATAGTTTCCCTACTCCATAATGCAATGAATCCCCAGCTCCTGCCCCTGCAGTTGCTTCAGTGCTGTGCGTGCTGACTGGCTGGCTGTTCAACATATTGAACTGTGCTTTGGGGTATGGACACCTGAACTGAGTATGCCTTAAATGCATCAGTGTCATTTTATTTGGGGTACTGCAGCTCCTGCTCGTATATTCCAGAAACTCGGAAGACTGCCTGTGGGGTGGTGTACACGGTGAAGAAGCCTCGCAAGGTTGAGGAGGAAGAAACAACAGTGCCAGCCTGCAAAAAAGCAAAGACTCAAGCTTGAGGAGTGAAAAAACTGTCAACAGGAGCCTCTTCTTTACCCAGTGTTGAGTCTTCTTCCACCCTCCAACCCAATTCCTCCCTTACTGCTTTGTTTAGCCTGGAGAAGAATTATTTCTCCGGTGTTCAAGTGAGGAAACCTGTGTGAATGAGACTGCTGATTGGTAGGCCATCACATCTGAAAGGTCATGCTGGGCTTCTGGCCAGGAGACTGACACTTCACCCAGCCTTAGGTCTCCTGGAATTAGTGCAAAGTCAATGGAACGTTTCTAACGTGGAAATTTTCTCTTGTACGTGTGCATCCCTTTTTTATTAAAAGTGTTTCTAAGAACACATGCCTTCATAGTCTAGCTCTTACGGTTTTGTAAGTTTTAAACACATCTCTGTACAACTGCAAGCCAGTAGATGAAGTTTACCTTCAATGGCCTGTGAAGAAATAATAGTGCAGTAAAAAAAAAAATCTTCTTCCCAGTCCATTTTGTGATCAATGGCTATAATGAAGATTCCAGGACTTGTCAATTGCTAGGAGGTATCTTGGATTTGTGTTACAGTAGGAGTGACTGACCTGACCTGTCAGATATACATCCCAAAGGCCATCGGTGTCCTGCAGCACTTAAAACCAAGCAGCAACATTAGATGGCTACCAGAGATGGGAAGGAAGAGCCCAAGGTTACACTGAATGTGTGCTCAGCATGGTGTGTTTCAGTTGCAGTGTAACAGCTGTCTCACCTAGGCCTGAGCAGTCTCCACATCACATCATCTTTACTGCATCATTTCCTTCTTTATGTCCTGTTCTGGAATTGTTGTCTGTGCACGTGTTCGTTTTGCTGCCTCTTGCCTTTCCTTCCTTCAGTGCCTCAGTAAACCTAATCTGGCTGCCAAAAAACCAATCATAACAGATTTATAATCAGCAGAGCATTTTCAGAGCTCTTCCAAACGTTGACTGAAGTTTTTCTTTTAATAAACTAATATAAAAATTACGTAAGCTACTGTACTCAAGATACTTGAGTAAGCTTTACTGCAGATATTCCAGTTCTTTATTTGCACCTGACCACAAATGGAAGTCATAGCACATAAAATATTGGGTCATCTCTGAGCTCTTGGTAACTGGACTGAGCAGAATAGAGGAAGTTCTCAGTAGACTTAACAGTTCTGTATAATGCTGCTGTAAGTCACAGCAGCTTTTGCTTCATTCAAAAAATAATGAGATATTTTTCCTCTATGTTATTATTTTATTTGTTGACTTTGTTACTTTTGAACACTTTATTTGTTGACTTTGTGACCATTTTATTATAGGTATTGGGGAGTAATATATATATATGCATACAGTAGTTTGTCATTTATGGACTTACCTCCAAAATGATACTGTAACCAGAGAAGAAGCAAAATGTGTTCGGTGCATGAATATAGCATGTAATGCCTCTCTGCTCTGCTCTCTCCCGCCTGCAGTTGTACATGCTGCTCAGGGGTCCTCAGCACAGGAAGAACATGGACCTTTGGAGTGGGCCAGAGGGGGCTATGAAGATGATCAGAGGGCTGGAGCATTTCTCCTGTGAGGAGGCACTGGGAGAGCTGGGTTCAGCCTGAAGTAGAGAAGGCTCCAGGAACACCTTATTGGGGCCTTTCAGTACTGAAAGGGGGCTTATAAGTAAGATCTTGCCAGAATTTTTATCAAGGCCTATTGTGGTAGGACAAGAGGTAATGGGTTTAAAGTAAAAGAAGGTTGATTTAGATTGGATATAAGCAAGAAGTATTTTACAGTGAGGGTGGTGGTGAAACACTGGCACAAGTTGGCCAGAGAGGTGGTAGATGTCCCATCCCTGCAAACATTAAAAGTCAGGCTGAACAGGGCTCTGAGTAGTTTGATTGAGTAAAGATGTCCCTGCTCTTTGCAGGGGTTTGGTCTAGATGACATTAAAGATCCATTCCAGCCCAAATTGTTCTATGAGTCTGTGAAATGGGACACGATGCCCTGGCTGGCAGCATTGCAAAGGTTGTCCTGCTTCTGCTAAAGTGGAGAGAGAAGTGTCTGCTTTTCCTAACAGGACTTGGCATCTCCCTTGGCTTGGGTAACTGGAGCTGTCTTGTGCTCCACACAGTAAGTACTGACTTGCTGAGAAATGAGATTTTTTTTTTAATCAAACCCAGTAATAAAACTGTAACTTTGTTTTACTATTTACTCAAGTACTGTCTTTCTGCTTGCATATCTGCCTTCATTAAAATAAGTAAGAGATGGGATTTATCTAACAGTGGCAGGGAGGTGGCATGAGGGCTGGCTGCTCTTGGCAGCTGAGACTTTTCTTCTGAGTTTTTAAAAATTTTAAGAGGCCAAGATGTGAACTTCCTTTAGAGAGAGAAAAAATAACCCCCCACACATTCATCACTCCATCATCCACTCCAGCAAATAAAAAGAACCACTCTGTTTATTTAATCTGAAATGTATCAGTTCAAAATGTACAGAAAAAGCAGTACAAATTTACAAATATACATAATCTGATTTTGCATTCTTCAGTCATCATACTTTGTAGATGTCTAGCTTAAAAAAAAATTCACATTTCTGATACTGTCTCCTCTCACCTTCACAACATTACATCTGAATCCTCCAGTCCAAATGGTTACGCGGTGGTTGGAGCTCTGTCCTCGAGCTCTTGATCAACCACGTTTGCCAAACCCTGTGTAAACACCATTACTCAACTACTTCTTTAAATCCACTTGGCACCTCAGTAAACCTTCTTCCGTTGCCCTTCCACATATCACTGCTCATTTCACAGATTATTTTAATAGTGAGAATTCAGCAGAGACAAGGCAACAATTGCAAGTATTCGCTATTTAGAGCTATTGGAAGGCATGAGGAAAGTTGCTAATATGGTTGGAAATACTGCCATTTAAGACAAAAGGATTTATGTTGCTGACAAAGATTGCATTAGGATGTAAAGCTCTATTAAAAAAAAATCTTAAATAATATTAAGAATAATTATAAATTGCTTTTAAATAAATAAATAATAAATAGAAATAAATAAAGCCATTTTAGAGCCAGTGGAATTTTAACACTTAACCTGTCTTTTAAAATAATTTCTTTGCAGGTCTGTTTGGGGTTTTTTTGCAGTTTTCAGTGAAGGTACCTCAAATAATCCAGTGCCATAAATATTATCAGTAAAAATACTATGTTCAAGGCCGTTTTCATCCAGGTTTGTATGAAGCATTTCAAAGCAGCAAAAAGAGAGTGGTCTGGTTTCTCTCTTCAGAATTTGCCTGGGTGGACACTCTTTTTGGAATTGTCTTTCAGGCTGTTGAATATCTCTTTGGTGCCGTTCTGCCACTGAAGAACAAGATCCATCGGGGTTTTCCCTTGCTGGTTAAAAAAGCAGAGGAAGCATGATTTAATTTCACCCAGTGATGGCTGAGCCCTTGTTCTTTCTTAAATACTTGTTCAGTGCATCCCATGAGACCCCTCTGCACACACAGGCTCAAGACTTAGTCTCAGTCTGTAAGGTCAGCGTAGTTTGTTCTGCAGAGTCCTGGTCAGACTCCTGATGAAGTCTCACTAGATTTCAGTGGGTCTAACCGTACTGGCAAATACTGTGACTAGCAGAACATGCAGTCACATGTTATCTTCTAGGTTCAACTGATAAGAAATATGTTTAGGTGAAACCTCAATAAGATGCATTTCTCTTAATGCAGAATTCAGAGGAGAGTTTGTAGTGGTTTAATTAGGGTATTAGGAATTAACAGGAATTAAATAAGACCAATTTTTGTGTGCAGACAAAGTTTGAGAGAGCAGGTCTCTGGCCTTTGGGGCTTTATCTTCTATCGTTGTCATACCCTGATGAGGGATAATTCCAGGAGCAGCCCTGGGAGTGCAGAGTGCTCCAGTGACTGTTTTCTTCCTTGTCCCCTGAAGTTTTGACTGATTGTCATTTAAAAACATTGGCAATGCTAAACCCCATGTTACTGCTGCTAGGTTTGGAATTGGGAGTAGTCACAGAGCTCCAGCAAAACGCTGCTGCTGCTGCAGTGGCTGTGAGCTGAGTCAGGTGTGGGACTTCTGGAACTGAAGCTCCTCTGAGCCGCAGGGTTTGTTGCTCAGTGGTAAGGTTAACAGCCAGTCATCCAGATGAAGTGCTGGGGCTGGCTATCAGCTGTGGGCTTAACAGAAAGGAGATTTCTCTGACAAGCTACAATCTTCGTTGTCTCAGTGGTGGTTGAAGTCCAGGAGTTGTGCAGAGCAAGTGTCTGTCCATTATATCTTTTCAATGTATGATATGAGTAATTAAAATAAATCTTAGAAAGGTGTGATGCTGTTTAAGTGGCAGCTAATGCTTTCTGGTTTTAAAAGAGGTACTGGGGTTTTCTCCTTTTCCCTGACCTCCCCTAAGTTACACTTTTCTTGCCTCAGCTCTGCTTCAATTAGCTCTGAAGTGATCTAATTAAGTCTGTTGTAGCTTCTCCCAGCCTTGAAACCTATGGAACTGCTCTGATGGGAAACTTATTTTAAAGCATTTTGAATTGCTTCATCTTTGTGCTGTTACTTACACAGTTCTTTAGAGTTAAATCTGCTCCGTGCAGAATCAGAAGCCGGATCATTTTGTAGCGGTTCAGCCTCACGGCGTCGTGCATTGGAGTGTCTCCTTCCTAGAGACACGAGACATGGACCACAGTGTCAGTCCTGCCAGTCCAGCACTGCAGTACAGCCCCAACTGCACGGTCAGGGGTTTTTACAGGCAAGTGGAACTATGAAAGCAGGCAGCAGCTTGGTGCCACCTTGTAGCTGAGAGGTAAGAGGTCGTTGGTACTTACTCTGTCCCTGGCGTTGAGATCGGCTTCACAGGCAATGAGGTGTTCCCCGCAGTCGTATCGCCCTGTTCTCACAGCCACGTGCAAAGGGGTGCTGAGCAGCTGAGGGGGGAGGAGAAGAAGCTGTCAATGGCATGGAACAGGTAAAAGCTGCTTCAAAAACAGCTGCCAAAATTTATCTACTAGGAATAAGGATCAGCTTTTCATGTCCAATTAAAAAAGCTGCAGAGTCCCAGAAGCACATACCTTGTCTCTTGCATTTATGTTTATCCCTTTGTCCAGTAAGAATTTCAGAACATCCAGACTACCTCCCCGGCATGCCCAGTGCAGAGCTGTAGATTGAAGCTGCAGTAGGAAAACAAATTAAAAGGAATTTAATATATCATTATATCAAAAAAGTTAAACTATTTTGATCAAATTTCTAAATCAAAAATAATTTTTGTGCAATTTAACCTAAAGCACTTCACTGTGATCACTGAAATGTTTCTAGTAACAGCTTTTCTTATTTTGCCCTAATTTCTGCAGTGCTGTGATTTTCTCACTCTTCATGCTTGCTGCATGTTACTCCTAAAGACAGAGATCTTGGCAATGCTGCTGTGAGAGAGGATGTGTTTTGTCTATTCTGTGAACTTGAAAGTTGTCTTTTGCCAGGTATGTAGCTGGTATGTGGTAGTTAATATTATTTATTCAATGCCTTTTGGGTTCTAAAATGCGTGGAAAATTAAGCTCAAGGGAAAGGATGATTCTCTTTAAAAAACAGACAAACCCTCGCACAACTTATGCAGATCCGCAAAGTGAATTAGAACCCTTTACAAGATTCAGTTTCTCTGCCCTGAGCTCTGCTGTCCCTTGATGGTCCCATTCTGCCTGCTGTTCCTCCTGCATCTCACACCCTCCATGAACACTGCTGGAGAAGCAAGGCTGGCCAGTGCCAACTGTTCAGCATAGGGACAAAGAGCTAGGAGTGGAAAAGCAAAAAAACAGCTGCAGAAGCTGTTGATACTCAGCACCCCTTGTGGCTGGCATTCCAGAGGAGCAGGGGGCTCTCCCGAGCCAGCCTTGAAATCCTGGTGGAGAATGTGCACATTGCAGTGAGCCCTGGATACAGGCGTGGGACAGTGGTATCTCCAGCACCTGCTAGCAGGCTGAAGTGGTAGCCTGACCTCAGCTCTCTTGCTTACCCTAAGTTAGGCTTTACTGTTTGTGGCACTTGACTGGCCAGCGTGTTCCTCCACTTCCTGTGTTTTCCAGCAATCATTTTGGCAAAGCAAGGCAGGCACCCCCTCCTAAAAAGTGAAACCTCTTCTCAAAAGTGTTATTTTAAGGATAAACTCACAAGACACTGTAAGGCCTTTTAATGCTCCTTCTCTGTAAGAAGCACTTCTGTAAGTAAGCTTCTCCTGGCACTTATAAAAAAACAAGCAGTTTTTGGAAAGAGGTGTGAGTGGATGTGCATACCATGTCTTTCTGTTCAAGCCGGGCTCCAGCCTCCACCAACTTTTTCACCACCTCTAGATGTCCTTCAGAGCATGCCCTGTGCAATGCAGTGCGCTTGTACTGGCAATAGAAACAGTGCAAAGTCAGACATTACATATCGCACAAGGATGTCTTTAATTTAAAATCTTTTCTCCCCTTCCCCCTAGGACCATGGCAAATACATACTGTGTGTTGATTCGTTTTTAAGAGCTTATACTTTTGAAACCCCAAATCTGCTAAATGTTAATAGCAACCTGATAGCTGAGAGCTGCCTACCCAGCATTTTAAAGGATGTGAGAAGTATCTGCAGTATGGCATTCAAATTTAATATGATGCCTGTCGAGTTCCCCATCCAACATGCTATACTGCATTTTGCAAATGCAGCTCATGCATTATGGAGTGTGAGGGCAGGCAGCATCACTTATTTCTGTCTTTCTGCAGACAAATTTCTTATCTCCTCATCTGTAGCTTTGGAAGATCACCTTCTACTGAAAATCAGGGTTTCCTGGGCACCAACCGCTTTCTTTTAAATATAAAGACTCTTTTGAGGTAATATGACTTTGAAGAGTCTCAGTGGCCTGTTTATCACTAGAAAACTTGATGTACAAAACTTCCAGCATTTATTTACTCCCCCCTTCCCTTTTTTCTCCTCATAAGGATGGAAGCTACAAAACTTTGTGGTAAAAGTTATTTCTCTTCTATAATAACCCCTTTTCTGTAGCAGGCTTTGCATTAGGAAGTAAAATTGTACCTCATCACAGACATTTGGATCCCCTTTTTCTGACAGGTATTTTTCAATTACTGGCAACTTATTCTCCACCGCAGCTTTAAAGAACGTGGGTATGTCCACGGGTCCTGTCTGATGGAAAGAATATAGAGGGCATAAATGTGTGTGGCACAAACACCCATCACTG